GGGGGGGGGGGGGGGGGGGGAATATGAGGTGTAAAAGTAAATATGGTAAAATCTGACACAAACAGCTTGTATGTTAGACATGTGGCAACAAGTATATAGGATTTTCTGCCAGTTCTTCAGAACAGGGGGAAAAAAAATCCCTCTAAAATGGTTTATTTAGCTTTGAGACAGTAACTTCAGATTTGGAAAACCAATAGATTTAACAAAAATAGGCTGTATTGATGACATAAAACTAAATCTTTGACTTAAGACAAACAAGTTTTATTTTAAAAATACCCAAAAACATCAGGTTGCTTGATAAATGCTCTATGCAGTGCCCTCTATAAAAGTATTCCCCACTTACTCTTTTACATTTGTCAGCGTTAACAGAGAATTACCCATCCTTCTTAAATTTAATCTGCTTTCACCAGTTAAGGTAATACAACTGTTAAAAAAAAATTAAGCCTTAACAGTATTAATATTATTTCCATGCTGAACTCGTCTCCAGGCTTACGTTTTAAGCGGACGTAAAGCGGCCTTTTAAGAATCCAGGTTTAGCTAAAATGTTGTATAAACAACACACACATTAAACATCTAGATATCCAGTGACATGCAGGAGCTGGGAACTCTCTAAAAGAGCTTGATTTAAGTTAGTAAAAATTAATCCAACCACTCTTTAACATTTCTTCCCCAAGACATCTTACATGCACTTCCTTCTAAAAATAAAGGGTTAACCAGCACTCTTCAAATACTGCTTGCTTAGGTTTATAAAATGTTAACAGAAAATTTATTGCAAAGGTTCCAACATCCAGGTTTTGCAACTTTAAAATGAAAATACATTATATTTTTTTAAACTAACTCTGCTTACAAGTTAGTGCTTACAAACAGCCTGAAAATGTGTTACAAGAACTGTAATACTGATTTCTCCAAATAGCACACTCAGGACAAGTTGCGCTCGACATGCATTTTGAACACTACAATGAATGTTTTCAGGCACTGCAGTTCCCAATGCATCTATTTAGGACACGGACCAAGGCTTTCCTTTGTGTTATCAGGTATCTATATTCTAGCGTGTTATAACTTCAAGCAGAAGAATTCACAATTAGTTAACTTCACATTTACTAGAGCTGGAAGGTTTTGGAACAGCTTAAGAAGAGCAAGCGTGTATACAGCAAAAGAAAGTCATTTTAATTCACTAAAGTACGCTGTTAGAAACCATTCATATCACACTGGATACCAACCAGAGTGATGTTACTGAACTTGAGGGGCACAACACAACTGGCTGCGGATGCTCAAACAAGTATATACACTGTTAAGCAGAATTAACATTAAATCCAGGGCAACAGCCACACACTTGGAACAGCCGAGTGCTGCTCTCTAAGAAATCACAATAGTGCTCTGCATGGTGCCACAAGAGAAGGGACAATTCACAACCCCAAAAGGTCCACATTTGCAGCTTCCCAAAAAGACATTACTTGGAAGCACGTTACAGATCTGTTGTTCTCTTTTGGAAGAAGTTTGCAGTGGGTGATGATGGGAACCACAAGGTGCTACTTTCCTACCCTCCTTCAGATTTGCCTCCAAGTCAATGACACACTGCCCTGAGAGTGCATAGGGCATAAGAGGCAGTTGCACACATGGCAGCTGAGAAGAGTGGGGAATAGTAATGCTTGAGTGATAACATCTCTGAAATAAATACCCCTAAGCTTTCCAATTGGCTTAGCAGGAACTGGATTCTTTTACTTGTTGAAAGCATTTGGTATTAGAAGAGTTAGAAAGTGAGAACATGGTGTTCAAGACAGACAGTTGCCAAGATCCCCCATGCTTCTGAAACACACAGGTGCATAGACTGCTACCCTGACTTACAGATCTCTGATACAGGGGGGTCCTCTTCTGTTTTTTAGACCCAGATGAGGTAGAAGATGAGGAGAAAGATAAAGGAAGAGAAGGTGGGGGAGCTGCAGGAGGGGGGAGAGGATCTGATGACACAGTATAATGGTTCTCCATCTCACACAGCTGTGATAACATAGTATAATGTTATAACTAGTCAAGATTTGGCACAACTTTAAAAACACATCCAAGTCACTGCTAATCAAGTCCATGTCCTTTAAGAGGTTACACTAATTAGAACTTTACATTGGACTGCTAGATCAACATGCCACTGGCCTTCACAGATTTCTGCAAAGTTTTCAAGGACAAGAGTGTGGAGGCCATTTCTAGTTCTCTTCTTCCTCACTTCCCACTTGCAGTGTGGCTCAAAGTAGTAAAGGTATGGCCAGGCCATGCAGAAAGCCAGAAGTCACAAAGACAAGACACCCGTTGGAGGTATTATGCATGAAACATAACACAGTTGCTACAACATTACACACGTGCTATTCAGTTCACCTGCAGTTGTAACAGCACTGCTAAAAACCTGCTAAACCATGCAGAGCCCTTTCCATCACGGTCCATTTTCCAGCAAGAGCACAACTGGCGATATTCTACTAGCCTCCTTTCCCTTGCATGATATGAAAAGGTGAGCAAAACAGGTTTATTTCAAAGGAAGCCGTGGCACATCCCTCAAATTGAACCTGCAGCACCAACAGCTCAAATAGGCCCTGGTAAGACTGTGGGAGCCATAAATCAAATGCAGGATTAGCTGCCTTTTTTTTTTTTTT